TGCAAGTACTAACATTTTCTATGTGCATGCCTTAATGCGACAGCAAAATATGAAAGGGAAAGAAAAATGTGTTATGCCTGGTGGCAATATTGATGCTGGCTTTATATTTCCAGGTTTTGAGATGTATGTTAAAAAATCTCAATTGGAAAAAAATAATAATTTCAAGAAATCAACAGCAGTGTCCCTGTTCCTCTGGATAATCCTAAAACCTCACTGTGAACTATTTTTATTGGAGCTACTTCCTCCTGAAGAAATAGTCCACGAAGACTGTTGAAAACGTATCGTGTGGAGTAACAGGTGAGTTGAGATGTGTCCTTTAAGTCTTTTTAATTTTAATCTTTAAATGCAATGAGCACCACAAATAAAATTTCTTGCCCCACTTTCTATGAGAAAAACATCTACTTCATCTACTCCAGTCTGTACTGGGGTCCAGAGTTAGAGCACAAAGATAAAAAACTGATAGGCCACACTACCTATTGTGTTGAGCAATGGATTGTGCACCATTTTTACAAAGCCAGAATTTCTTCCTGAGACAGATACAATTCCACCAAAAATGCATTTTATGAAGCTGTAACTTACAAATAAATCAAACTATAGTGCAGCTGTACATCAGCCACATTTTTTTTGCATAATTCAAGTTAAAAAAAAGATTGAAAATATTTAAACTTTTTAGAAGATGCAGCCTGTATCACCTGTCACACCACCATGGAAAACCAGTATCTTACAACTGATGTGGGAAAACTAATCTGTACAACCAACCTGGTCTCATTTCCAATTCGTCAAATTACTGACTCAGAGGCCATTGGCATGAAATACCGACGTACAGAGGCACCTTTAAGTGGTGGAGAAACACCAGGCGGTGGCATTTGTCGATGCTGTGATTGGTACAGCTTTATAATTGTAGTCATACAACTCAACACAGCCCCACACACCTCCCATTTTGGTATGCTTATAACCAAAGTAGTCATTGAGTATACTGATCTTCTTCTGCCAAGATCATTGGGGTAAACCAGTTGTGAAATCTAAGAAAAGTGGAGTTACAACCTGAAATGTAACTTCCACATTTCAGGTGAGAAACTTTTTAAAATAATATTTATTATGCAATATCGATGGCTTTGAATTGCCTGTTTGGAATGCTCAGATGTGATACTTGCTTCAGTTCTGAAGTGTCCTTGCACCTGACACAGTGCTGTGCAGAGCTCTGCTCAAGGGAACTTAAGCTATTTCCACAGGTCAATCAGTGGTTGGGATTAAACCAGAATTGGAGTAAATGGGGGTTGTGTTTAACAACAGCAAAACTACATCAAAACATCTCTGTGAAGAATCTCAGTCACCCAGGTCATGGTAATCTTAAGTACTAAATCGTAGGCAACTGGACTTGCTTGAGTTTCTCAAAGACATTTCACATCTCATCCAAGAGGCCTCTTCAGTTCTTCAAAATATCCGTTTACAGCAAGCAGCAACCTCCAGGCACAGAAAAATGAAGCCAGTGCAGAAATGCCAAAAACGACAGTTTCTCTAATGGCTCTAGAAACCAGTTAATCCCCATAGACACCAATGTTAAAATGCCCAACTCCACAGTAATTTCTTCATTCATTTCAACTGTACGGGCGGTAAATTTATATACAACTCACCCGTTTAAATTTAATCAAGGCTTAAAGTTACTCATAATTAAGGGCAGCGCCGCTTTGACTGACAGAGTGTCTGCGAGGCATCACCACAGCCAGATTGAGTCAGATCCATCCCTCGCTCCTCCACAGCTCCATTCTTTCATCCAAATATGGTCATTTCTGACTGTAAATATCCAAGATGACAGCAGCCTATATGCAGAATTCAAGGTACATGTGAGTCTGCAAACCAGTGAGTGACATCACCAAGGCTACATCCATTATTTTTATGTAGTCCTGGTTTGCAAAGTAGCACACCAGGGCAAGCATGTGCATTTGAACTCTGATTGTGCATTCCACTGGGCAGAGTTCAAACCCAGGTGCGCTACTTGTACTCACATGAAACTGTTTATGCAGACATGGTTTATATAGTTAGGTTATAGTGAAGATGAATGTGTGTGGGAAGTACTGTAACTTGGATTATGCTGCACAAGTTGTGTATAAGTTTGTGAATAGATGTTCTAATAGTCTTGCTGTTGTTAAATGTGTCCATAATTTACCGTAATTCATAAAGAACATTCAACAAGACTAATGCCAGATCATTCAAGCAGACACATGCTGCAGGTCGCAATTTCAGTGGAAATAAAAAGATTCAAATGTATCTGTGTGTCTCAGTGTGTGTTAGCGTGCACGTGTGTGTGGGTGTCAGCGCGCAAGTGCGTGTGCATCATGAGCATGCATGGCGTACGATACATCTGTGCCTGCCAGCGGTCTTTATGCGTACTTACAAATTCACTCCCCGGGTGCATTATGCCTTTGAAGCTCAGCAGGGTGGTCTAATAGCTTTTAATTTTAATTAATTTCCCCTCTCTATTAATAACCTATATCATTCCCTAAGTGGTTCTAAGTTTTAAAGGTGCTGCATTACTCATTAGCCAATTGCTGGGTAATGGGAGGGCTTTGTGCTGAGTCAGCAGAAAACCTCAAGTTGGCAAGCTCATCCCATAAAGTCTAAATAACCCTTAAAATAAGACGTGACGATATTCCTGGACATGGGTGACAAGAAATGAGAGTAAAGGGAGTGAGGAAGTGACCGATACAGAAACTGAAAGGGGGGGATGAATAAACCTCACCTATAGTATGAGTGTGCCTTCTGGGAATCAGTCAGAAACACATTTATAAACTCAGGCCTATCACCTTGGCATTTTACAACGGTAGATAATTGACTTTGAAATGTACTTGCTAAAATTCCCTCAAATGTGATGCCTGTCTGAAATGGTTTGCCTTTGGCTGAAACAAAGCTGCCTATTGAACGATTCCTGGCAAACCATTTCCAGGATTTACTTCTTAGAATCAACAAGTGCAATCATGTCATCTGTGTTGTGTTAGACAAGTTGAGGAAGCTCGTTTTAAACTGTGAGTGAGGATAATTTTACAAAGTGAAGGAGCAGACACAGGAGTGGTGTCATTTACAGTCATTTCTTAGAAATTTTGTTTTAAAGGACCAGTGTGTAGGATTTAGAGGAATATATTGCCAGAAATGGAGAAAAAAAAGTGTGTTTTCATCACCTTAGAATGAGCTGTTTATTTCTACACAGGGAGCAGGTCCTCTTCCATGGACTGTTCTACAGTAGCCCAGAACAAACACCCCAAACACTGGCTCCAGATATGACCATTCCTTTTTTTTTGCGTCAACCTCTGTAGTCAGCAGTCCCTCCGTGACAGGCTGAACAGCATCAGAGAAACACTTGTTAATGTGAAACTGCTTTTTTCAGTGTTTTTATCACTGGGTCTGTTTGTTTAGGAGAGGTAGAGACCTCACTGGGTGGTTTGGCTTCCAGTACAAACATCCTGAGCATCTGGATCTTAGGGTGCTTTCAGACCTAGAGTTGTCTTGCTTTGGTCTGAATCAGGGTCTAATTTTGTTGCAAAGTTGCATAATTGCCTAGAGTTGGTTCGTGTTCTCACGGCAGCATTTACAAGTGGACCAGACAAAATGCCTTGTGTGAGAAAGCTGCTCTTGATTGGTCAGAATTGGTCAGAATCCAGGAAGTAAACAAACGTTTAAGAAGAGTACACTTGCAAGATAAATGTGACACTTTCTAATGTCACAGTGGAGGGACAACTACGCAGGCTGATTTTAGCGCTGGTCATCGTGGACTATATTGCTGTCATTGTTCATTTTAGTCAAACCATACAGTTTGAAAACGAGGCGCGGCTCCAACTAGAAAACAATGTTTTGATGCATTAGTTGTGCTGAATGTGCATATTAAGGCAGTACAGGAGGAGGCGCACATTAATAATCCTCCAGGACTGTAACATGCTCATGTTTAACCCAAACAATGTGTCATGTGACTGCAGTTGGTTCGGATCCAGGTCGGAACACGTTCTCACCACATATGAACCGCACCAGAGTTAGTCTGTAACCGGACCAAGACCACCTCTTCAAGAAGGTCTCCATCCGGTGGTTTTGGTGCGCACCTGAGTGCGATTGCTGTGTTCACACCTGCCCAAATGAACGGCACTTCCAGGGGGAAACAAACGTCCCCAGTTCAATTGAACCGAACCAAACAGGGCAGGTGTGAAAGCACACTTAAGTTACCAGAGAAAAAAGATGAGCACACATTAGCAGGTGCTGGGCTGGCGGCCCAACTGTGATGTCAGATTACCAGTTTTAATCACCTAGTTTATTTGTGTTGGAGCAGTAGAGACCTCTGTGGATAATTCAGCTACTGATAAAATCTCCTGAACAACAAACAATGAAGGAATCCTGCTTGTGCTTGGCACATGGGTGAAGTTTCAGCTAGTTGAAGTTCGCAGTCCCCTCCCCTATAGATGCCACTAAATCCTACACACTGCTCCTTTAATTACCATAACATTTTATTCCATTAGTGGGCATTGAGATCGCCTATATTTACTCAATATACTTTGAATTTTTAATACACTTTATTGCCCTCATTACACTTAGCCTGTGCCTATAGGAGTAATAAAAGGTATATAATGGGCTTTCCTGTGTCATCAGAACCCAAGCACAGTCATGTCAGCTGTTTCCTTGGCTCTCTGTGTAATGCCTACCAAGGAAGAGCCAACTCCAGAGACTTCCCTCCTCTTGAAGTGAGTTGTGGTGACCCCCTGTGCTCCCCTCTGAGTGTTTCCTTCAAAAATGTTCCCTCTTTGGCGCATTTCCTCCACTGTGACGAAAGTGTGCCAAGATTAAAATAACATAGTAATAACATAGGGTGGACTGATGTCATTTTTTTTTTCTCTAATAAAGTGCAAGTGTACTGTTTCTCTCCCCAGCATCTCGCTCAGTTACACACTCACATTACACTCACACACACACATCGTGAGCGCGCACCACTCACTTGGCAAAGTTTGACGTGCCGGCTCTCATAGCTCAGACGCGCCTGATAGAAAGCAGTAAACTATGCAGGATATGTCTCAGTGACTGAACAGAATTTATCCTCTCCGCAGCGATAAGAAGTTCGGCGCCTGTGAGCTCCTGTGTGACCGTGAACGCAACTATATCACCCTCCACCTGCACTTAATTGTTTCGGAGTTTTGCTCTCGGTGTCTGTGGGGCGCGTAACTTCCAGCAGAGGACAAGCACTGGGATTGTGGGGCACTCCGGCACAGGACGGGACATCGTGTGCGCCAGGCGTCAGGCAGAGGAGTCAACAAGTGGCTCTCATTTGCGGGAAGAGGAGGGAGATTATGAAAGAGTCAAGTTGCTGAATGGAAAGTTAATGTGGACTTTTCTAGTCGGTATTTAAAGTGAGTGATAGTTTGTTTGAGCCTCTGGAAGGTGACGAGGACATAGTTTTTAAGTGTTTACGCATTTGTTATCAGCATGAGTGGACCGGTGGTTTTCCAGATGTGGATGGTTTTATTGTTGGGGACTATAACAGGGGTCGCGAGGGCTCAGGTCTCTACTGCCAAAGTGATGAGGGGCAACATCAGGAGAGACGGTGAGTCTTTATTGTTGCACTTTGGTGTGTGTGTTTGGCCTCTGCGTTTCCTGCTGAAACTGTGTTATTGCTACAGCTATTATTGCTATTTTCTCATCAATTTATTGTTATTATTGATTTTCATCTGATTTTCTCTTGTTAAACACGTTGGCCTGCATCTTTGCATGAAATATGCTATATAAATAAAGTTATTATTGGTATTATTATCATCATCATTTTTATTATAGTTGCCCTCTTGCAGGAAAGTATAATTATGATCATATTTTTATCTTAAGTGGCATTTTATTGTAGCTTATGTGTGTAACTTGACTTCTTGAAACCTTAGGCCGAGCTTTTATTAAGTTTAGATAAGGCAGTGGCTTTTTCAGATGCATCTCTTACTTTAAAATCCGTATTATGTTTTTTTAATCAACTGTAATACAGATATAAAAGGATCAATGATTGAGAAATTTAAACAACAAACAGGAAATACTTTTCTTGCAATGACTGATTGTCTTGTGGTGGCCTTAGGACTGCCCCCCAATAGTGGACCAAACTTCAGTTGACCAGAAATGTCATTAGTCGGCAAGATTTCATTGGTCGCTTTGTGACAGAGGGAAAAAAAAACCTGAGAATGTGGAACTATTAGGAGCTGCGCTTTGTCAAAATAAATTGAAACCTATGTGACTGAACCATGTGGGAATTTAATTTGAAAGGACAGACACAGGAAGTGGCCACCATCAGCAGTCAGACAGGAGTCACATTAGATATCTTTCCCTTCTTCTGTCAATGTTCAGTCTGATAAATACAGAACAGTTGATCATGTTAGTGCAGGGCTACCCAGAGCTTTACATCTGTCCCATGGATGATAGGCCTACACACTTATAAAAAGCACCTGAAAGAAAATCAGCTTGTTAAGGTTGCTTAGCAACCTCAGATGCAACGGGCATCCAGCACCTGACCTCACGTTTACTAGGTGGTTAAAGACGCAGCATGTGTACGGCCCCTAATTTCCAGGCCTGGTACCTGCAGTTATTCCACAGGCTAGTTAAAAACATGTCGGGCAGGAAATCCAAAGTGTGGGATCATTTTGAGAAGGTGAAGGACGAACTCAAGGTGATATGTAAACTCATCTTCATTGGTCGACTACAAACATGACGTATCATCTGAAACATGGAAGTAGCTACATGCCCATTAGCCACTTAGCACAATCATTACTGCTTTGCCCACAGCGTCATTAACAGGCGGCTCGCTCAGTGTGTGACGTGCACTTGTAGATAAAATATAGGCCTATATTAATGAAGGTTCATTAGTACGGTTTTGTATTTCTCTGTAATGTAGCACAGTGTTAACAATGTTACTGATACTATTCTTTCTCACACCTTCAACTCAAACCATTGTGTTGCCCCACCCAAAATATATCATTTAATAATTAAATTTATATTGTAAACATGCGGCCGACTAGTCGACTAATGGCCCTAAATGATGACTATTGCTTGACTAGGAAAATTCTTGGTCAGGAGCAGCATTAGGTGGCCGACAGTGTTACTTAAAATAGACATCAATTGTTTGCTAAGTGAAGCACTTGACTTATTGTAGTGAATGACCTGTTCACATTGTGGGGTGAGAGTGGAGGCAGCAACCAAGTGGAGACACTGATGACAGAGGGGGGAAAGTTAAATAATGTGAAGTGGGTGCAAATGAAGCAAAAATAGAAAGGTCTGTTGGATGACAAGCTACTCCACATTTTCAGAAAACTGAATAAGGAGCATGTATGTGTCAGTAGCCAGTCAAGAGTGGGACTCCTATCACTGCCTCAGTGCGTCTGCTCCTTCACCGAAGCTGAAATCTTAAGATTCCCCGAGCTCCTCGCCTATCTAACTTCCTGCAGGTGCGCCATGCTTACTTTTTACTCGGCCCTGAGGCTAAAGTCACGGTGCTACAGTACCCTTGATTACACACACACTCACACACACAGGCATGCACACAGCTGCAGGGTTGCTTTTGGCAGGGAAACATAAAAATACCACTGTATTAGGTTCTAACCTGGACAACTGCCCCTGAGGCCTGTCTCACCTCTCACTCCTGTGTGTGCGTTATTAACAAAAGAATAACACAGAGGGTTAGGTCATGACTTCAAGTCTGTCTACACGTCCACACCTACCCCTCAAATACCACTGAAACTTTCTAAAGTTCAAGTATTGTTTTTACTGCATCTAACCGTTCATGATGAATCATTTTCTGAACGAAGCCTGCCATGCACGCACCGAGCACAGAGACGAAACACACTTTGATAAGTCAGTATCCACAGATGTTTGACTGATGGATTGCACCATGTCAGAAAGCAGTTGCCAGGTCTTTTCCAGTCACAAGTGTGCATATACATATGAATGATATCATAGAAACTGCCACACAGAGTGACAGCTGTGCCGCAGCAGAACCGTGAGACAGCGCAGACGGACAGGAGAGCAAAAGCGGCGAGTGATGACAAAGAAAAGGCTTGTTAGAAAATAAAAGTTGATACTGTTTGGAGATGACAGCTGCACTCACTCTATTTTGGTCAAGGTTCACAATAGCGGCGGGATAAAAGTCTGTTCTCTCCCTGAAAAAAAGTATTAAGGAGGAGAGATCAGAGGACTGCAGTGATAAAGCTCCAACATGCTTTTACCATACTTTAGAAATGGGAGTTTTTATTACTTGTTCCAACAAGATTTATCAGATCTGCCTCTCAGTTCTGCAGCAAATCTCCTCTGAAGTTGTTATTATTTTATGCAACAAAGGAAGAGTCAGTCTCAGGCTGCAGAAATGTTCATTAAATTCTTGTTCAGTCATATTCACTCTTGTTTTGTTTAAGCTTGTTCAGTTAAACCCTCACTTTGGCAGCAATTATCATGCGGTAAACATTTACAATGCAAAAAATTAACTCCCTGCTAATTTTCTACATATCAGACTCAGATTAAAATTATACACTTTGCCTCATCCTCAAAAACTTGTGTTCCAAACCTGCACTAGGCCTTTGATAAACACTCATCGCACATACTTTTATAATTTGGTAAAATTTAAATCAAAAGCAAAACCTCTCTCACTGCTGCACACATCCCTGAGCTGCCTACACTTGCCATCTGTCAAACTAATCCAAAATTAGGAATCTCCCTGCTGTCTCCCTGATATTGTCAGGAAGTGATTGGTTTAGTGCACTCAGCGACAGAGAGGAGATGATCTCAGGTTTCTACCCTCAGACACTGGCTGGGAAACATGCTTCATCTTAGCAGTAACTTCAGGTGGGAGACTTCAGGTGCAGTTTCAGAGGGTCAGCTTTTCACAACTCTAGCAGCAGCCGGTAAAACGATGAGCGTTTAATCACTCGATCACAGGAGTTTGAAAGATGAGTCGGCAAATGTTTTTTGAACACTGTCACTCAGACGCTCGCTGAGGATCCTCCTGACAAAGTCGTCAAGCCGTCTTTAAGTTCTGTTAATTCAAACTCAGATTAATCAAAGTGAATTCTTTGATTTCTTGATGATCTTTTGTTGCACAAAGACTAAGAGTCGCTGTGATGGCAGCTACTGAGACAGAATGCTTGTTGGATGCTGCACAGTCTTTTAACAGCTCTTCAATCCCCTGCATGCAGTCTTACAAAAATACACTGTGCCCAGAAGTTATCTTTACGTGTGTGTGTGTGTGTGTGTGTGTGTAAATACATTTACAGTCGGCTTATGCGGAATATGAGAGCTTAGTTTCCCTGTTTGATTGACTGCTGCTGATTTGCTGTGTTTCCATGTGCAGGAGTGAACCTCAAGCTGATAGGGGCTCCGCTGCTTTCACTCTTCCATTTGCCATCGTAAATGTGCCTGCGTGTGTACCTTTGTGTATTTGAATGTGTGTGTGTGTGTTTGTGTGTGTGTATGCATGTGTGTGTATGTGAGTGCTCTGACAGAATGTCTTAGCTCACTTCGAGGAATTCCCCCCAAGGTTCTTTTTTTTTCTCCTGTGTTTGTTCAGCGAATTGCTCGTTCTTTCGCCTGCCATTGAAGTGTGTCTGTGTATGCATTGAAGAGGGTGGGGGGGTTGGTGGGGGCAGAGTGTACTTGTAGAATGGGAAAACACACATGTAAACACACAGAATGAGGTAAACACTATTTGGCCTTTCTGGCTTGAACAACTTAAAATCTCTGCTGAAGAGAACAGATGACCCAGATAGGATGAAACCTATTACACTTTCTTTGTGTGTGTGTGTGTGTGTGTGTAAGCAGTGATTGTGGGCACAAAAACATGTACATGTCTGTGAAGGCACAGTCAGAAACAACACTGACACAAGCACTATCATTTCACTGACGACAGCACAAATGATCACAGACTTAACTTTGTTCACATGGCTCACACATACACTGTCATTTATCTTCCATATAAAGTGTCAACTGCTCTTAGGTTTTACTTTAAAAGTGATTCTCTTAACGATGCTCTGACGCATCGTGATCATAGAAAAAGTTTGGCAATGGCTGGCATTTTGTGACTGCCCTCCACTGGCATTGGAGGAGATTAAGAAGACCTTCACTAGATTAGAGTCAGATCCACAAGAATTTTTGATGCATATTCAGAGAAATCATATCCTCAGATATTCAGATAGAAAGTCACATATTATTAAAATCAGTGACAACGGTATGCTTGGGTGATGTCTTTGCAATTTTTGACATCATGTAATACTTAAAACTTTCAAGGTTTTTCATTGAATGGATTTATAAATTAATTTCCTTTAGTGAAGTAGAAATGCTTGTATAATCTATCATCTACCATGTCTCAAAAACAGAAATTCAGTAGTCAATAGCAATACCTGTGAAATTCCACACCTCAATAGCCAATTCACCAGGGTTAGAAAAATAACAAAAAACAAATACACTCTTTTTTTATGTGCAATAATATATATATGAGCACTTTCTTTATCCTATTTTAATTGCAAACATTGGCAATGAGTGCATGAAGTGTATATACAATTGTGTAGAATGCAAATGGAGACATATATT